AAATACTTGTATTCAGTATTTATTGATTTTGGATTTGTTGACCGAAACATGATCTAGTAATTACTGATTTAACTAAACCTCCTGCACCGACTAACTCTATGCATGAGGCAAGGGAGCTGTTCAAGTCACCTAGACACGAGATACTCAAAAGACAAAGAAACATGAAACAGAGTAAAACTGCTGTGGTATTAAATGAAGACATTGGAAATATTACTGTTTCTAGAAAATAAATACGTTTTAGGAATAAAATAGGAACTTCATTCTACTTATGATAATAATATTATAAGTAACATACAACTCAATCATGTAACGTAGCCTGAAGGGCATGCCGTTGTATCCAATTGGAGAAAAATATTTACTGTTTCTGAATCAAGCTGACTAGGACCGATATGTGTGAAGAATTTCACTTCTTAGTCAGAAATGACTGGTAGAGTGGCAAAGTGATACAAGAATGAGTAGCCACGAACGAGGCCAAAGAGTGCCCGACGCTCACTTTATCGCCGTTGTTTGAGTTCACGGATAAGTCTACATCAGAATCTATGAGGTGGTAGCCGAAAAAGGTTCTAACAGACAGAAGAAGATCTCAGTGAACTAGCATGGCACAATCTCACACCGTCTTCGAAGTTATGGACGTGGATGAATCATTCTCTACACAGTCTCACAGAGTGCGTTCGGAGAATGTGTCTGGATGGATTTTTGTCCTTCTTCACATGGCGTTTTGTCATGTGAAGATTTTGATTTTGATGACGTGAGGTATGATTTGTGAGATCTGGGCCACGCAGCTGGCAAATTCTCGAGACCTGTGATGTTCTGAAGTTTGTGCCTTGGGGTACGAATGTTTCAGAGACTTCTACAAAATCTCCTTCATCTTAGACCTGGTCTTCAGACTGACTATTGGCTTTGAGTGCGGCCACTCCTCACTCCATACACTGCGCCGCACATTGTGTATGACTTGCTACTATATCAGATGGGTTAGATTATACGCTTAAAAGTAAAGCCCCTTATCTTTCGGTGTATGTCACACCTACATACTGCAGTATTGCAGAACCTGGAGTTAACGTGGTGTCTAAAGTGCGAGGGGATAAGCCAAAAGACAAAGAGTACTTTTGAGCATAGAGCGAATGGGGGCCAAATGAATGTGAATCAGAGGCCGACTTTTTGCTTCGAATATGTACCCATAACCATCAGCTATGTTCATCCATGCCCACCCATAGCACTAAGTAGCCCATGTATTCAGAATTTGTGTAATATGTATTACCGGCCACACCAAGTCTTGATTATTTCGGACCAATAATAGATAATATATTGAACCTGAAGCGCTTCTTGGTTAGAGTATTCTCTTGATCCGAGAATTTTGATTCCAATTTGGATGTGGATGCACAAAACTGAACGCGCGAGGTTACCCGTTGCGATGATCTCATTTTTTTGGGTGGAGGTTAGTGACCTTGTATGTCAACTCAAACTTAATATATGCGTCGGGGTTGTTGAAACTAGTATTTCAACCCCATTGCCATCAATTTCTTTCCTGAACTCATCCTATATAGATGTAGTGTCATCATTAAGAACTTTTTCTGTGGTGAAGTCGGTGCATCATCATTCTCGTGATCCAAATTTGAGAAAACCTTCCCTGTGTCAGTAGCGCGAATAAGCATCCTCAGTTTTGCTTTCGCCTTAGGAACTAATGGGGCCTCCATCTTGCGCATATAGTTTTTCATAACAAGATCCAAAAAATGTTGCTACAACATGGAGCACTTTGAGCTCTATCTTCATGCGCACTAATGTTGTCAAGAGGCACTTACAAGCTATGATTGATAATAGCTCTCAAAAGTAAGTCATTGATCTTCCTAGCTGCACCACTCTTGTTAGTCTTGTTTTCAATGGTTCAATAGTTGAATTTGCCAAAATACAACCTTGTGTAATGTTGGCACTTTGATTGTTTGAGAACTAGAGTTGCCTTCTGAATTGGTGCCCACAACTCAATTAATCATTTCAAAAAGGTTTCTAAGATTGAGACAACTTTCTACAATTTATACCTTTTGCTTTAGTAGATAGATCATTTCATTTAGCATTTAAAAAACACTAAACAATGAATGTTATAACTAGTTTCATCTGCTTACATTCTCTTGTTTTAGCATTTTTGACAACTTTCATTTAAAATTTTATTTTTTAAAGTATACAACCAAACTCTTACATGCTTCAATGAGAGCGCATAGGACCGAGGTCATCAAGGTATCTCAACATGGCGGTCCTATACGCTTTCATCAAGGTATATTATATGTAAAAAATCTTTGACATGTACTTCAATATGGCAAGATAAATATAAAGTTTAGGGTCGAGGTCTTAAGCCCTGTCCATGAAAATGGTTTTAATAACCACTTAGAAGTTATGCCCATTCATATCCAACCATGAACAATAATATCTCACTCATGGACATCCAAAATCCATGAAAATGGATGAGTTTGGACACGGTACTCGATGTTAGGCTCTCATGTGAATAGAACTATTACGAAGAAGAAACTGAAGTAAAATGGGGTAGCTTGTGATTACATAATGAATATTTACAAGGTCCTAGATATTTATATAAAAATATATCTAAGACCGTATCAAATTATGTAACTATTTATAAATTTGATTAACATGATAATTTATTCATAAAAAAATAAATCCATAATTAATGTATATTTTTTATAGAACCAAAAAAGTTAATAAAATCTATGTATATATATATGGAGACGTTGGTACAAGAATATATTTATCATTCATCCATAAATATTGATATTCGTATTAATGAAAATTTATCACTTTTATTTCATGTAATCAACAATATTATATAAGTAATAATTGTGATTATTACTTATATAATACTTGTGATTAGACTTACCATTATATTAAGATAATTAAGGAAAACTAACGAGAGGCTATCAAGTATTGATGACAGTGGGATGTGAAAGGTGATAAGGACACAGGACATGAGAATTTCGTGGAATCCTCACGGATCACACACCCGAGAGCCTGCGCAACAATCTAGCCTGGCAGATGGCTTTTCTTGCCGGTTCTGCTGCGCACAAGTTCAACACAACACATGCATAAGAACAATGGGCGGAGAGTCAATAAGCAAACCAATTTTAGAGTCTTACAAGGCATGTGGCTTTTCGCCATGATTCAGGTTCTGGAACGTGCAGCCGGTCTACGATGTAGTGTACGGCAGAGATTTTTGTCATGATTCACAAGTTACTCGCAAACTCGCACCGGGGGTCAAATTTGGTCCGAGGGTGAGACTCTCTCCAGGACTCGAGAGTATAATAATGCAGTACAGTATCCATTGAACTCGATCAATCACCGAGACTTTGACAGGTCCGCAGATTCGCCCTTCGTGGTTCATGAGGAGGTATATTACGTCCAGAAACGGAGCCCAAAAAGAATCGAAATGCGAAACTCAACAATTGATGAGTGTTCCAGCTAAGCTCGCTACAACCGTGTGACAATTTCGCTGCTAAACGTAATGCACTGAAGTTAGTCAGTACAATAGCATGTGACTTCGACCTTGGTCGGTGTCACAGTTTTGCAGTCCCTGTTTTCTGTACACACATTCGTCGATGGGTCTTCCATTCCTCTCCCCTATTTCACTGCTCTTTGCATGGAGTCTCCCCAAACTTGACATGTTCACTTGTTTGTCCAGTATCATAATATTTTTCCTCGCGTCCATCACTTCCAAATTCGTCAGTCGGTAAGACTTCCTCTTTCTTGTCACAGCTCAAAATGGGGTCAGTTGGATGAAGTTTCAGGTTGAAGTCTGAGAATGCAACTGAATCGCGCAAATGCAGAGGATATTCTGATCCTCTGCGTTTGAGAAGAAGAGGACAGTTCTAGACGATACATTACAAGTGTGAGCACGGTCAATTTCAGGTTGGGTGTGTCCGAGTCCCAATTGTAATTGATTAGTAGGTCGACAACTTCCGTACTCTCTGTTGGCGAGACGTTTTCGTGCAGAATTCGTTTCAGTGGTGCAGTCCAGCAAACAGTTCAGGACTTAGTGCTGTTCTGAGATTCCGTAGGAATGTGCTACGCATCATCAGGCTGGCATTTGTGCTCGTTCGACACATGTCCCACAGACGTTCCACAAGCGTAGAGCACTTGTACTTACTTCGAACAACCAGCTCGTGTTAGGGTCGTGGAGAACCATCATGATGATGACGGGCTCGTGAGTTGAACAGTTTGGAAGAAATGTTCTCAATCCCGAACTTCCGACATTTTATGACTGCTTGATCAGCTGCTTGCGATAGTCTCCGAAACAGAAAATTCTTAATGATATCACTGTTTCCTGTAACAACAATATCCAGGGGCCATAGCGCCTACTGTCCTGATCTCAGCCATCATGAAAATCATACTCAGTGGTCCTGAGAATGGACAAAATGCCGAGGCTCGAGATAGACAGGGGAAGAATGGGCACCTTGCCACGGACTCGCATGCAACACGTGTCTGGCCATAAAATGGAGGTAGGACGACATGGCCAAGCGCGTCCAGTGACTTGAGGTTTGAGCGAAACGTCGCCGATGCCTTAGAGCGAATCTCTGTATGACTGCAATCGCGTACTGCTAACATGCCAAATCAGTGTTTGAGGACACAATCGAGACTCGTGTCCACAATCTGCACGTTTGCTCATCTTTCATCTCCATAACAATGTCTTTACTACTGTTACTATTTGGTTCCACGTAGTTTCAAGCGTGTTCGGACCTGGAGCTATGGAAGCATACCAGGCGGCACTGAATTTCCCTAGACCAGCCTTTTCGAACGAGTGCCTCCAGTTTCGATGTAACCCGGGAGGACTCGACCACGGGTCTTACTGGTGGCGGCCCTGGTCTCATTGAATAGCTGGACATAGATAGCTTGATGTAATATTGCCTGCATAGTTCGGATCTCATAAACTGGTTGACAGAAATTGGTTTAGTTGACTCCTGTGCGCCATATGATGGCAAGAGGCATTTTTCCAGATTTATGAGGGCTTCTTATTGCAAATAGAACATAACTCAGTCACATTGTTTTAATGGATCACTGTATACACATGTGCGTGCTGTGACACATGGATCTCACAATCTCTAGCCGTTGTTCCATTTAGAACACTAGTAGATACAATCCATAAGAGTATGATGATTCTTTGGAATTTCCTGTAATATTTACACCAATCGGCCAGAGTTCCTTCGGTGCATTCAACCTACGTATCCTATATTGCCGGTGCAAGATGGTATATTTCCCTTTCTGATGCTATTGATACTCCAGTCTAGCTAGTTTGGTTTCATCCATATTCATCCACTTGTATATATCCCCGTCCTTTTTTACTACTTGAATCTGGATGTTTGACCATCTCATAGCAATCTGCCTTGGAGAGAGATTTGTAGGACTTCGCATCAAAAGTACTGTCTTCCGTAGCTAGGAGTCAACTCTTCCATACTGACCTCCTGCCAGGTATCAAAACAGATATTAAACTGTGTTCCTGGCCTGATCGCAAAGACTTTGAGATGTACGTACACCGTTAAACTTCATCTTTGCATCCCCTGCACGTGCTTTCCATGTTAAGGTATTCATGACGCGAAGGAATGCACGAAAAGTACTTCACAGTAAATTCAACCAGCTTCAAGAGCAGCTGATAAGCTCATCTGAATCTCGTGCGTAATGTTTTGGCATCTCTGTCGACTACAAATGCGTACGGACGATGTGGACTTTTCCAAGCGATCGACCGATGTATCCACACTAAAAAGGGCCGTTCCTTCCATAACTTTAGGAGTCTTTTTACTTCGCGAGAAAATTAGAAAATGATCATCAACCTTGTGATCCGAACGTGTGTGCCTGTCCTATTACCGTGTTCCTCCCGCAGAATAACTCAGCTTCAAAGAAAAATCGGTAAACTTAAAACCGTAGGCTGAACAGTTGAAAATCACGTTCAGCCTGTGGCCTCATGATCTAGTCAAAGCACACTCGCAGAGATGCCCGAGATACCCATCAAGCACACCTTTGTTACCGAGAAAGAGAGAAAGGGCTTCTAGTTATGAGGGTAAAGACCTGCAAGCTGCTCGTGAAGCCTAGAAAACCACTTCATATACCCAAGTCAAGGTCTTCCATTGATTAGGTAATGCCTAAGATCTCAGACAGCCACACCTGCTGCAGCTCTTGACACTATATTCGAATATTCTCAGCTCTAGGAGGTCCAATGTGGCCGTCTTTACAATGTGTCTGCAAAACAGTTCCAGGGAGCTCTGGTCACAAACGAGATACACACTACCATACTGACGATAACTAGCGAAAACTCAGGTCGGATGGCGAAAGAGGGCATATGAGCTAAGTGAAGAATATTTTCAGAGGATCGAGTTGACTGATACCAATTCGTAATCAGGTTGCATTTGCCCAATATTATATATGAACTTCTATATTCATTGAAATCCTTGGTGATAGAGATTCTAGAAGGAATCTTCACGAATATCACGTATCCGTTGGCTGCAAGAACTAATCGGAAACAACTAGTTCAAAATCATGTTACGAATAACTATCACAAGCACAGAGCCTCCGTAAAAGCTCGATCCATCATCATCCAGGTCACTACTAGAGACAATATATTTTGGCAACAATAGTTCTTATTACAACCCAGAATGAGGCAATTTTCACTAAGGTCAGATAGACAGACGCTATGACTACACCATCCCGTAGAGAGCCTACCAAGACTGCATTCTCAACCGGTGGCGTCACTGAATGCGACAAAGTGTCCTGCAAATCTTTCGCAATGAGAGTCTTTTGGAGAAAATTAGACATCCTACTAAACTATTCGTACTCAATACGATGTCTATGGTATGGGTACGGCTCTGTAATACGACTTGGACAGAGGATAGAGGCGAATTCCATGGAGCCTTCGGCAATCAGTATACATAGATATTCTAGTAGCAAGAAGTAGAAGGTGGATTTCAACGCATCTGGTGCAAGGGATCGAACGAGAAGTAACATTGTTATTCTCCCTGCTAGATATAAAACCACAACTTAGAGACCAACAAGAATGAATATTATCAACTAAATGCCTTCGGACTTCACAGAAACTTTCAAAACTCTCTACAAATTCATACATTGACCACCAACTACAGGACTTAGAACAACCTCACTCTTCTTAATGTGATCAGTAATCATATGACCGGAGCTCGTATAAGAAGGTAACAGTTCAGGCAATCAACCTTTAAGAGCCAGGAAAAACTGCATGGATGACATCAATCTGCTTCACTGCGAGATTATAAATTTCAAACTCCAGTACAACTCTGCCTATAAAAAACACCCTATATCAGCGGTGAGTTGAAAGTATCTGCTTGAAAAATTCTTTCAGTACTAAGATGAGTAGAGTTTTTAGACGAGATTTCATTCAGGTTACTGACGAAATTAAAACTGAGACAGAATCTAAATGTCTTGCAACAAGAGGTCTTTGCAGCTCAATAATCAGATTTCCAACTTAAAATCACGTAGTTCAATTTTACCTGTATCCGATGTCTCTCCATGACATCGGGTAAGAATCATGAATAGGATAGATCTCCTCGTTCAGAAAAATCGCTTGCTCTTGCGATTAGCTTCAAGCCGTATTTCTCTCTGGTTTTCCGTACATTTAGACAGATGTCAGTCGGATTCCTTCGAGTAAGCTCAACCCAGGACAACTAAATCTTTTTCGATGGAAACAAGGAGATAACGTACATTTGATTTCAACAATAAATCAAGAGATAACAACAGCATTTGATTTCTCGCTGTCACAAATGCTTAGTTTAATACCTGGTTGAGCAAATTGGATCTACCCAATTATTCAGATTCTTAAACTAGGAAGGTACTCTCACATGGTAGAACTTTCGAAAGAACCTTTGCATGCTTACAATCGAAAACTCTCAAAAATTAAAACTGTCCAAATCATCCTCCTTTTATGATATAAAGAGTTCGTGTAATCACAGTTCTATACAAAACTAACTACAGGTGTTCTGATACATAATGAGTAGAGCCTCATTTGATATAAACGAATTTGCTTCACAAACTTCCTCAGAACTTCAGTCCGAAATGTGTAGCAAGGATTTCACATACAGATACTCGCCACATCTGAGGCTTACACCTCCCATTTGCATGAATTGTAGAACGGTAAATACTACGAAGTCAACCTTTGAGAAAAGTATACGGAAATCACAGTAACACTTACCTCCTGTTTCCTGCATGCCTTGTAAGCCTCAAATTGGTCTTGACACTTGCTTTTATCGTAATCCGAGTCATCCAAACCTGTACATGTCGACCATTCAATGAAATGTAACAACAGGAACAACACTGATCCATTGAAAAAAGCAGATGATGCAAGCCAGAAAAAATCAACCTCTCGAACCAAAATAAGTTTCTTAAGCGGATATCTTTTAGCTCCTGCAGCTGGCAGGGGGACGGGAAAGACATCAGATCGGTCTCTGCTTAACGACTGACTGTAAGCATGTGAAACAGAGACAACCAAATCTGCTTAATCAACGGTTAAATTATTCGTAAATTCCAAATTCGTATATACACCGAAGATCCCGAAGATCCTCTCAGCATCTGAATGAATGGTCACCAAACCAAACACGTTTAGGTCACAGCAGTCTGTGTCGAGCCCTAGGTTTGTCATTTTCCGATGCTTCTCAAATCACATTTGGCGCATCTTCGAATTAACGAGCTCCAACGTGATGAAAGAGCAGGTATCATTTTAATACATCTGAAATAAAATTGTGAAGAATCACGAAAGCAACATCGAACAACTTCCCCTCGTTCATCCAGTCCAGTGCGGATCAAAATGATAGAAATATGGTGGAAAATAATTCTGGTTACATTTGAGAGAGGCAGCATACTGGGGAGCGCAAAACGATTCCGAGAGCTTCTGAATACTCTTCCGAGGGGTGGGATCTTGAGACTCCCTAGAAACTGCAGCGGTGGTGAAACCCTCCATATCTTTCAAATCTCACAAACAGACACTCTCGATCCCGAATACGAATTGCCTAATGCCTACTTTCGCTCTACAGTTTTCGTGTCTCCAGCTCGTGCGGAATTTTACAGCTCTGTCCTGCCACAACCAGATTCAACGGAATCTTCCAGATCCCTGACGCTCACGAAAAGCTCCCAGCGATCTTCTCTCGTCCATGTCACCGACACCCTAAACAGAGCGAATTAGTGGGGTGTCCTTGTGTGGGGTCTTCCTTGCTTCGCTACAGAGAAAGGCAGTGAGTGCCCCTTGTCTCTTGTGAAATTCCAAACAACTTCACCTTCGACACAACTTACAAATTCTCCATTGTACAAGCCAAGTGTTCCGAGCCCATGCAGTATGCATCAAGTTACTCCTCGCGGAGCACACAATGGTCCTTCGTAGTTATCTCATGCCACGAGTTTCCACGTAAACAATTCTCTTCTCCAATGACCCAACCGTCATCATCCGTATGGAGTCAACATCACTTCATGTTTACATCCACCAGTGATGCCGGAGTGAAGATTTTGTGCTCATGTTGTTCTTATTGATGCTCGCCGTGAATATCCCACTCTCATCCCCTAAACCGTATAAATAATTACTTTGGTTTCCAAACACAAAGACAAACAAAGGCATTCAGACTTAGAGTTGCTTGATTCATCATGAGCAATGCATCTTGCTTGCAGGATCGACGTGGTGAGCATCTGTTTGAAGAATGGTTGATAATATCTACAACATTCTCTTCGCCTTAAATAGGAGCTTGGCAGTAACGAAAGTCGATCTAATTACTGACGTCAGAAATGCGGGTATATTATATTAGTGCGGCACGCCCTAATTCAGACCGAAACCTTCGGTTTCACAATGAACGGCGAAGGAAAGGGTACAACTTCGTTTGAAATAAATATTGGCATAGGAATCAAAGTCCAAGTTCAAAACCTCATTCCTTCCCAAAATGTATCACGTGTACAACAAACTGTTACGCATAGGACTTTGCTCATATGGCCATCGTGGCAGTGAATCCCGTAAAAGCAATTGTCTCCAGCCTTGGACATGCTCTAGAGCATCGAAAGTTAGGCTCGTAAGACGAAAGAAACTCACACGCATGATGGATGGCAAGTGGATTTTAAATGCCGCATATACCGATTATCGAAGCGTATCAATGGCATCTGACTGGACCTTGGCTTTTCCAAACCGCGAAAACATGGGTCAAACTATTTCAACCAATCAGGACATAACGAGCGATATGTTACCGATCTCAATCCATGTAAGTGCGAACCAAGAATTGTTATATTCTATATCATGAGTTGGCTCTTCTCTAGACCTAATCTGCGTTCATGAAAAAAGACTAGCCAAATCAGTATCGTGTGCTGGATACCAGTCTAAAAACTAAAAACTCGAACGCGTGAAACATTCAGACAATGATTGAAAATGCAATTGAAAAGCCTTATTTCTGGCAGCAAGCCCAAGAACGGTGCATGTGACATGCCGGTCGAGTTTCGACCCTGGGCCGTGAACCCTCGAGATACAGGACGGGAAGACATGGCCGAGTCGTACAGAGGATCGTACATACGGTTGTGAAGGGCTAACGCGAAGCAGGACGAAGGTACATTCCTTTCTTGGTAACGGTGCGTGATAATCATGATTAGAACCTTAAGAATATGCCGCTTCGACATCATTGCCACTTCTGAGATCCTTCGGATCATTCCAGTATATTTCATGCCTTCTTTTTCCTCGTGCAGCCGCCTGCACGCGCATCGGGAAGAACACACACGCTGCGAGCCGTAGACCAGCGCTCATGAAAACCGCATCCCTCGGTACTCGAATTATCAGTCTAATCAACGAACTCTGCCATCCACTCCTGATCTGCTGCTGATCGCCCACCCTACACGAGCTCTTTCGGAATTTACCACGTTCTGCCGTGGGAATAGTCCTCTCCAATATTCTGCACCATGAATTGTCCGTCTACTCTCCACTTACTTCCCCTGCCCTTTGCAAAAATCTCAGATCTATCCGCCTCGAGCAACCCGAAAATCGTTTTCACTGCCACCAATTAAATATCTCTCTTGCGTTTATAAAAATTTATAAAAAGAAGGAGCAGATTTGCGTATGAGCCTCATAGGTACAAGAATTAATTAGTTAATAGTTCGATCCCCGGAGTTTCGAGCAGTTGACTTGACTCGACTCGACTGGTTGTATGAATGCTCTCGAGGTTTTGCAAGTCAATTTTAATGCTAGAGGAGCATGAGACTTGCCATCTTTTTTTGTTATCCACTTGCCCTCGGGGTCCTCTGAGTCAGACAGGCCAATTGCAATGTGACCCCTCGACGTACGAAAATGTAAATTCGAGGGTGTCGATCTGCTGCTTATTGCTTCTGATGTGCGGTTGACTCATTCCATGATTCCCGTCCTCGTCCGTCTAGTACCCCACTCTGCCCTTTTGTCGGCAGTCGGTAGTTACGCGCAGTACAGATCTGTTTTCCAGTTATGCGCAGAGGATATGTTGTGGTGCAAGAGAATATTATTATCCTCGCTTCTTGTTTACATCGGGAAGGACAGAGTCCGGACACGAGTGTATGATGAGATGTACAACTTTTCATGCATTTTTTTAGTGCGATAATCGAAGCGTGATGCTTGAAACCTGTTGGCTGAGCGAGGCCTGCCTGCCTGCCATCCTCGAGTAAGATAAAATCCAACAATTTGGGATGTTAGAATTCGTGAAACAATTCTAGTTCCTTCTGTTCTATCTATCTTCTCTTGCTCAAGGGATCCTGTTTTACAGTATGTTCTACGCCTTGATGATCACAAGGGGGACAGCAAGCTACAAAACTTTGTCCATTTTCAGCGTAATTATCCACTTACCTGCTATGACTGATAGATTTCTTGTCAATGATTTAAAGAATTTTGTTTCTTGTTTTTTTATTTCATTTACATGCTAGTGATTGTCTGAATCAAAAGCTATGTGCTTAGAACCTATGCTTATCATAGTGTTCACGTTGAGCGAAAGTATGTTTATGTTAGATGGACCCGATTGCCGTGAAGTTGGACCATCGTGGATGAATCTGGGTTGATGTGGGAAAGAGGAAGAAATAATACCGCTTATAGACTTGCATGGATCGTATCCACATTCCAAGTTCTAGTGTACATTGATTCGCACGATCTGCATTTGTTTTCTTTTATTCTTTTCGCAAAGTCGTTAATTTGGTGAGCATATTGAATGCTGAAGTAACTTTCACTCCCACAAGTCAACAAATAACTTTGACCTAAAGCCTTTGAGCCCACTAAAAATAAACTCGGATTGAATTTATTGATTGGTTTGCTCCTTTTTCTCTTGCTTTAATAGTGCATAATCAAGTCTAAAATTAGAAATTTTATCACAAAACATATTTGCTATTATCCATGCTCTCAGCTCGTTCCCACAAAAGTCGTGCTCTCTACATTCGCAATCAATTGATTCGCGAATTTCCCTCCGTCATGAAAGGTTGTTATCTCCTCGAAGGACGCTTGACGTCAAACTTGTTTTGTGCTTGGAAGATTTCGGCACTGGATTCAAGTCTATAAGTATCCCGTTTCATTAGTCCTTTGAATTGAATGATAAGGACGGAACTTTGAACGAGCGAAACTTTTGTGTGAAACACAAATCGAGAGGAACCAAGAAGTCGGCTGTTGATGGAATCTTAAAATAGCTTTTGGCGGTTGAGGATGACTGATTGATTCTTTGCCCTTTAAGATATTCCATCTTGCGCCAAGTAAACTAATGATAGAGGAGCATACAAACGACCAATTGAAGGTTCCTTAACGACTTTTGGGGATGAGGAAATGTTGAATGAACAAGTAGAACGGGAAGAAAATGCGGATGTTGTAATATTCTTCCCTGTGGGATGCTCAAAGAATAAGAAGGATGGACTCAGGGCCAGAAATAGAGAGAACTGAAATCCTCAGTTAAGCTTCTTTGGCCTTATCTGCATAGATGAAGTGGTCTTTAATGAGCTTTCATAGACTGCAGATTTGAAAAATAGTGTACTTGGAATTATTCTCATAAAATTTAGACATTTCAAAACTTTATTGTTCTGCAAATTATTTGATAGACTGTCTGTTTTGATTTTGCAGCATTTAAATATATTTTTGAACATGCTTCCTATAATGCTCCATCTTATGATCAGCTAGCTCTTGTTGACGTTAGTGATATGTATCAAAGTGCAAGACCTAGATCCCTTGCAAAAAATTTCATAAATTTCAAGTTTTACTCGGGTATTCTGTTGTCACCTATGAATTTGAAATGTTGGGAGTGTCATTTGGTAAAAATATATATTATTCATAGCAAATAATGTATAGTAATAATTTAAAAATCTTAATTTCATATATTTTAATGGAACAAGCTAATTTAAAATCTTTATTTCACAAAAATTGTGACATAAAGGTTAATATAATATATAATATGTAATGTAATGTAATACATATACTTTAAATATAATTTAAATTTTACATTATACCTGACCATCGACTATGAATATAACAGCTTAATTTCTTCCATAATTTTAGAGTCAAACATGTTAAAATTTGTTAAAATATTTTTCCTAGTCTTTATCAAAATATTTCTTAATCAAACATTCTCATGTTTTTTTATGAAAATTTTGAATTGAACTTGACATTCATAATTTGTGTTCTTTTAAAAAGGATTAAAAGAAGAAAAACACAATGTAAGTAAGCTAGTATTCTGGTAAATTGTAAAACACTATTCATATATCAATATTCACACACACCTATATATAGACCTTTATTTGATGTTTTGGCTAACTTAATTCATGCATACTCACTATTCATTATTGAATTTTTAATTGTGATAATTGTCATATTTGCAGAAAAAGTGATAAAGTAAACAACTTGAAGGAATTAAGACAGGATATGGTTTATATGTGATATTTTTTTAAAAGGTCTTTTTCTTATAATCTTTCATATCCACACTTGTATGCATACGCTTAATTTTGGATTGTGAATCATTTCCTTCATAAATAAAAATTTCTACATAAACAGAATCATTTCATTCTAAATTTTCAATGTAGATGTTTCTCGATGAACAAACTATACATGTGATTTGGATGTGCATTCAAATGATCATAGACTTTTGCCAAGAAATAAAAGCTGTGTTTTTGCTTATTTATAAGATAAAATATTTCTAAAGATGATTAAACTTCAAGTTCATCTCATTCAAATGAGATACATCAAATAAAAAATATTGGCTTCAAGTCATAACAATTAGAATATAAACGTGACTTGACATAATTACTTATCAAGCATGACTTTTTGCTCGGCAATGTCAATGACATTTAACCCTTCTTTAGTGTTGACTGCCCAAAACCAGATATTCATCAAACCAAAATCATGAGCCTTGGAGTAGATTACTACTTCAAAAATGTTTTTGGTAAAAGACTCAATCGTAGTCACCTACGTATTGAATTACGTAGGTAAATCGTTATTGATGCGGTCTATAGCTTCCTCCTCAACTTGGATCATGCTATACTCAACAGCTGGACACTAATAGATTAACCAAGCCAATACTAATGACGTCGAAGCTTCCGCTCCCAGCTTGGATCATACTATTTTATTAGACTACAAATAATCACGTACAAATAAACCGCAGTCTAATCGGTGGTCATCCCAAAGCGAAGGTCGTCCGCGCGGGATGAGGGAAGCCAGCAAGCATCGGAGGTGAATATGTGCGTCTGCTTTCTACGAACTTACGGAGGAGGGTACCGGCGGACGAGCATCTTCAGATGCCCCGGCATCACGACCAAGATTGACGGAGACCGAAGTAACTAAACAGGACGGACGGATCCCCAAGGGGCTTAGTTGCGGGTCACGACGACGTGAGAGAGCGGAGCTTCGAAAGCCGAGTGCCGGACAGATGCAGATGCAGATGCTGCTGCTGCTGCCGGAGGCAAGAACGGCACGGGACGGGCCGGCGCCGGACGACCCAGTCCGAAGTCGAAGTCGAAGCCGAAGCCGAAGAAAGGTCGGCGGGGAATTTCGTTCGTAAGCGGAGGACGGGACGGGACGGGACGAGAGAGAGACGCGGTTTGATTCTTGTTCGTTTGCGGTAGTGGAGGACTGTCTGTCCGTCCCTTGTCCGCTGTCCTTCCTTGCGGAGGACGAAGTCGTCATCCACTAGGAAAGGCCAGGCCAGGCAATCGGGAGAGGGGGAGGGGGGAGGGGGGAGGGGTGGGTCGAGGGCCGAGGGCCGAGGGGCAAGGGGCCTTTGCCCATTCATACATTTCATCTCATCGCTTGATGCTGTTGTTTCATTGCCTTCGCTCCTGCCGCGAGCACGCACGCTGCTGCACAAGAGGAGGTGAAGAAGCGCAAGGGAGGGCAGAGCGGGAAGCAGAAGAAGAAGAAGCAGCAGCAGAAGGAGAAGGAGGAGGAGGAGGAAGAAGAGGAGGAGTAGAAGTGCAGCAGACTCGCTTCGCTGCCAGCCAGTGAGTGAGTGGGGTGCTTGCTCGCCGTCGTGTCGTGTAGGGCGAGGGGGAGAGAGAGAGAGAGAGAGGGAGAGAGGATGAGAGGAGGGGTGGTGGCTTAAAGCAATTCGGGTACATCTGTGGATCTACTGCTGTTCGGTAGAGTTTCCAACGCCTCGGATTGGAGACCAGAAACGCCCATCACTTACCGTATCGCTGACTAAGCCCGAGCGCAAACGAGAGGAGCCGAGGTGAGGATAGCAGAGGAGCGCCTGCGGAGGGAGGGAGGGAGGAGCGAGGTAGGAAGGGAGGGAGGGAACTAGGCAGGAAGTGCATGCCAGCACAGCTAAGGAATTTTTTTTCGCGTAGCACACGACCACGGCGGGATGACAGTTTGAGGATGATAGACAGCGCCAGGCCTTCTTCTTCTCTGCTGCAGGCATGCGGGTAAGTAAGCAAGCAAGTAGCAGTCGACATTGGGAAGTCGTGCAGAATGTGGAGTCTGAGTGAAGCTGACGTGGGTCCGAGGTCCGTCTCCGTCTGATGTGTTTTCGATTTCAAATTTTCCCCTTCGTGCCGCTTTAGACGCGGCCGAGGCTGCTGCGTCGCTCGGCGAAGATCGTTCTGCAGTCGTCGTGCCGATGGATCGGGGGAATTGCTCGATTTCGACTGGCGCTCCGTGATCTTCCCGCTCGGAGAGCCCGTTCGTCCATCCGGGTCCGTGGAACCGATACGAAGGCAGGCTTGTGTGTCTGGCCCTTTGAGTCTGCTTCGTGCCTTCTAATCTCCGGCTCCTTTTAGGGTTGTCTGTCGAATTACGTGTTGTGAAGCAAGGAGTTTCTCCCGCTTGGGAGCTTTTGGTTCGCCTCCCTGTGCGCATTTTGGCACGAACGTCGTGCCGTCGATTCGTTGAGATAATGGGGGAACTTGTGTGTCCAATGTGGTTGCAGATGAGTATTTCGTGAGCTTTGATGTTGAAATCCTAAGCTGATGCTCCTCTTTCTTTTTTCTTATTTCGAACCCTAGAAGGGCGCGGATGCGGTAGAGAGTGGCGAACGCTGGGTTCGCTATCCCCGTCTACTGATCTAATGATACTCGTGGGCAGTAATATTTTCCAGACGTAAGACGTTGATCTGAGGTGTACATTGTTTGATTCTTACAGTTGCCTGTCTGTCTGTGTTTTGTAACCAGATGCGGTATTTCATCGAGGTCGAGGAGTCTCTTCAGCTATTATGACATCAACAGCTCTTATTCTTGTCTAGCAAGAGCTGTTCTCTGATTCAGCCCCTGTAGTTCCGTCCGGCATCAAGCGAGAGGCCGGTGTGCTGCCGCGAATGTCAACTCGATATGAATTGACGGCCTCCACGTAGAACAAGCGCAATTCAGAGTGATGTTCTGGAATCCTCGTCGGCTTCTACCCGGTCTTTCGATACATTTGGACAACGTTCTCAATACTTGTGCACGCGAGGTGACGTCGCTGACGGATTGTGAAACTTCTGTCTACAGCGAAGAGACTTACTTATCCATCGATTTCAGGATCATCCATCCAACCCGGGTGGAATTTGATTGCTTCGGTCGTCCTTCTGAAGCGGAGCGTTTCTAGATTGGGTAGTCAGTGATGTCCAACAAAGACGGATTTGATATTGGGTACGCTTTGGCACAGAAGAAACAAAGAAGTTTTGTGCAGCCTACGTTGATCTCTCAAGCGAAGAGCAAGGGCATCAATTTGATCTGCATTGATGTGCTCAGGCCGCTGGTTGAACAAGGGCCCTTCGATGCAATTCTCCACAAGGTTTCGAGCGAGGATTGGAACAGGCAACTAGCCGAATATGAGACAAGGTATCCTGACGTCATTATTGTGGATCGGCCAGAGGCAATTGAGAAGCTTCACAATCGAATCTCCATGCTTCAAGCCGTTGCGGAGGTGCAGGTCAATGTGGAGCGAGCAACCTTTGGGATCCCGAACCAACGCGTGGTGGAGCGTTGCGAGGAACTGGCCGATCTTCGAGCTATGGCGGGTCTGAAGTTTCCGGTGATTGCGAAGCCCCTCGTGGCCGATGGCAGTGCCAAATCTCATGCCATGTCGCTAATTTTCAATAACGAGGGCATCACGAAGCTTAAGCCTCCGGTTGTCATCCAGGAGTTCGTGAATCACGGAGGAGTCATCTTCAAGGTGTATGTTGTCGGTGATTACGTGAAGTGTGTTAGGAGGAGGTCTCTTCCCGACGTGGACGAGGACTCGTTGAAGAGCACTGAGGAACCTCTATCGTTTTCGCAAATTTCAAATATGGCTTCCAACCCCGAACAATCAAGCCAGGTAGTAGATGAAAAGTTGTCACAGGCAGAGCTTCCTCCGTCTAAGTTCATAGGAGATATTGCCAAGGGCTTGAGGAAAGCTCTCGGTCTACGGCTGTTTAACTTCGACGTGATCAGAGATACCAGATTAGGAAATCACTACCATGTGATTGACATCAACTACTTTCCAGGATATGCGAAGATGCCCGTGTACGAATCTGTTTTAACAGATTTCTTCCTCGGACTCGCACATGAGAAAGCCGCCGCAGGAGATCCAGCACCCCTGGAAGCCGTCACGAACTAAATTTCTTGTCGATGTTGTCGGTTTGGACGCTCTTTTTGTCCAAATCAATGCGACGGACCGGGAGACGATCCTGGGGTGATTTTATCAGATGCAAGAGAAAAAAAAGGCTCCGGAGGTGAGGCTTGACACTGGCATTCATGGCCTTTATGTTAAAGCTTTTGCAGTTGATTCAGAGTTGTAATCAAACTGTAACGGTTGTTTCTCAATGAAAGAAAGCAGTGAAGGTTAGTGCGACTTTTCCACACTTGTTGGAACCAGTGAATGACAGTAGCACCTTGTACAGCGGCTGCAAGTATCAATGTTGAGTTTCCAAAGTAGGGGCTGCAGCGCAGTCCATGTTTCTGTGCACCCTTTTGAAAGAGTGAACCGCTTGGAGGACGATAGACATTGACTGGCCTCTTTTGCGCCCATAAAAACAGAGGCATTCATGTGACATGTGCGTAGCAATTCATCCATTCTCCCTCTTTTTTCCCGTAGATATCAAAATCATTTTTTGTTATTTCATGTCCAGGTCCTTATCAATGCTGAATTTATGAGGACATGAATAGCAAGACTCCCGGGTGATGTGAGTGAGTGCAGCCACTGTCGATGTGCCGGATCCTTCCGGTCAGTTGTTGGGTGTTCGCATATCATGTTTTATAGTAGCTTGTAAAGTACCTTCAATCTTAGGTTGTGGCAACAATTTTGAGATATAGCATCACTGTGTTGAGTAGTGTGGACGCACTGCTGGAGATTGCAGGCTGGCTCTTAGAGCAGGTTCTGACATATTTTGTAGCGTAGCCATGTTGGTCTTGACAAAATGTGATTTTCCACATCCACACACGTCTACAGTCGGAAATCGAAGGTGGTCGCTGAGACTTTTTTTTTTTAATTCTTTTGTCTCGGCTAGTTGTGGATTGGTCAAGCTTATGTGTGAAAGCAGTAAAAAAATGAGCTTGTATCTATGACGGAGCGGTGGGTAAATGATATGAATGAATCTTCCTGTATGTATCAATCGCCCCTATTGTCTCACCATCTCAGTGGCCGCTGGTTCAATAGAGAAAACACTTCGTTATCAAGGCTTCTCTTCTATCAAATCAGCTGTGCATCCAGTGTAGATTGTATCAAAAGGTCAGTCTGAGAGAAACGGTGAATGACACGCATTTTACGAGATTCTTGCGGAATTGTCAGTAGTAACGTTCGAAGTTATCTTTGTACAATCCTGGAACGAACACATTTTCAAGTAGAACCAGAAGTAATGAGCAGTTGTTTCTGCCGAGAAGTCCGGTGAGAGTTAGCTATCCTTCTCTCCCATACGTCACAAGTGATAATGTTGTCCAACGTGTGATTACGAGCCGACACGTGTAGGGTAGACTGGATCTCTTTGACGAAGTGTGGTGCACACATGACTCTTGGCCCTTTCACCCCCTGGAAATGTAAAACTAGACTTTTCACAGCCTGCCCTCATGGAAAACGGCGGAAGTGCCGCCAGCGGTGAGAGCGTATTTTGGTCAGTCTCTTCCAGTTCATCATCCTGTAACAGCGAAGACAGTACATGATACTATAACTTAGAAGTCACAAACCGATATGAACGATGTCTGACAGGTTAGAGCCTCTGCAAGGCACCATGTTACGTCTCCACTGTGGCCTACTTACACATTCAGCGGTACAGCTGATCGAAGCCCTCAAGTACAGCAAGTGGTACGACTGTCAGTGTTGTAATCACCTATGTCAGTCACTGACTTAGATTGTTCCACCCTTGTACTGCAATTCAATTCGACTGTGGCACAAGAGCTGCCTGCCTGTGGCTCCCGTAGATTGCTACCTGTGACGGTGGAGTCGTCTCCGTCGAGTAGATCAGTACGACTATGGCTTGACGGAGGAGCCCTGCATCGTTTTACGCAAAGTGCCTTCGTGACCTACCATAGTGGCCAAGTCAGAAGATGCGGCAAGATTCGTAAGACACTCCGTAGCATCTGGCGGGGCTGCCCGTGAGCTGCTTTGCTGGAGATAAGCGGAGAATACATCATTCTATCTCCTCCTGAACTTACGCAAGCGGCGGTGAGCTACGAGGCATGCACATCCGTAGATTGTATTGACTCTAAGTCTGATGAATCGGAGGTGTTCCCTGCAAACGTGGAGTGGGACAAAGAAAAATAACAAGAAGGATGTGACTACAATTGTAAACTAGAATTGCAAGATGACGACATATGATGCTAAAGTGCTCCTCTGCCTGCACGAGTAAGAGTTTCCGGACCAGTGTGGAAGTTCCACACTAGAGCTTGAAAAGGCCTGTGGATACAGCATAGGTTCTCTCTTAGGTCGGTACACCCTACGAAAGCAGCTGTATTCACTTCAAAGTTGACCTCTGCTCTTGTTTGTTGTATGGGCCAATGCAGTCCTGCATCAGTCAGACAGGCCCAGTTCTCTTGTCAACTTTGGGACTTTGGGGTGGCCAGTTTTGTTTATGGCCGAATGTTTATGTTAGGTCGAAAATGGGGAAGAAATCTGCCGAATGTGAAAGAAACAGGTGAATCGATGACATGGACTGGGCTTTCAGCCAAGAGTCCATGTCATCGAGTTCTCTGTTGTCTTTCTGTGGAACAGGTTCAGAGGATCAGAATAGTCTTCGAAGCTGCGGCTCTGCAGTCTAAAGTCTCGCAAATCTGTTCATCAGCTTTTGGAGCTACCTTCCAATCGACGGACAGATGGCAAACACAGACGGCATTGCAACACTATAGCAGCAAGGACGGACATGTAGAGGTAGTTGATGAAACTGCCAAATTATGCACAAATGCATATGCCAGATTGGTACAGTCTCAGAAGTCCTTTGCCACTTTCATTGCTCTGCATCGTCCACCTCAGTCCTCACTGGTTTGTATCGAGTACCGGTATCGCAACTCTCTGCCTATGAGGAAAGCTACACGACAAGAGTGAGACATTTGTTGTCAACTCGTTCTGTTTCTATTAAGGCGAGCACTGGCCCGCTTATCTTAGTCCTTTGCGTAGTCACAACACTTAAAAGCTCACAATGGCTAAATTGTGTGGCAGCCACATGGTGCATCGTGGGCTACCACTTGTCACACATTGGCAAGTCAGCATTTGTTGTTCAAGCTAGGATATTGTCCATTATATTATAGAGGACGAGTACCTATAGCTATATAATGAGAATCAATGATACGGTATCATTGATACCATCAACCAGACTGAAGTCAAGTGAGATGATAATTCTTTGGCTGGATGCTCTAGTAACGTTGATAATATTAGTTCAGATATCTTAGATGCAGTAGCACTTAATCTCCATTGTGACGCTCTAGGGCACAATTACATGGTGTTGGTTTCATCCATTTTCCAATTTGATTTCTTAGGGCATAATCACACGGTGTCTATGTTCCTAAAGCATCCATGGGCAACCTGATTGAGGTGTTGCCACCCATTTTGTTGTCTTACTCGCTCGTCGCTCATCGTCCAAGAGAGTGCCACAAGCGACTGCTGAGGTAGCTTCGGATACTCCCACGAGACCTACGACACACATCACAAGAGATCTCAGAAACATCAGATGTGGCTCATCGATTTCATATATTCGTCGAAGATTCCAGTGTGGACGGGTAAGGCTATCTCGGAAGTTGGCGAACAGTGCAAGTATGATGCAGACAAAGGAAGGACAGCCGAGGTCTCCGGCGATCTGCGATCCAATCTAAAACGCACGCAGTCGGTGCATGTTTCCAAAAGGAAGCCGCGAAATTCCTTGGCCATGTCTCCACCACTTACAGATCGTATCTCCGTGTCGTATCGGCTTGAGGCTCCAATTAGATATTTAGATTTGACTATCTTCTCAGCCTCACGAACTCTGATACCCCTCAACCCTATTTATGTGGATCTGTGCATGTCGGCTTTCTAGCCTTACGCTGCGCTCTCGTGCGCTGCTGCCCCTTTCACCTGCACAATTGCAAGATTTCCACATGATCCACATGCAGATCATGCTCTTCCTAGTGCAACCTAATTCACTTATGGACAGCTATAGCACCGACATTCTATCACACGATTCGAGTCGCGACTTGTAGCCCTTCCTTTTCTTTTCTTAAAAGTGCTTGTTTCATCAAGTCCTCTCTAGCGTTTTGTTTCTTTTGTTTCTTCCATTTCCTGCTGAGCTTCCTGTTTATCACACAGTTAACCAAACATCTTTGCAAGCACTTTGCTGCAAAATCACTTTTTTGGGACAGTAGCTCCTCAAACTTCGAGTTCACAGATGCTCCAAGTACTGAATGTATCTCAATTTTCACTAGTGCGAATGTTTAGTCCAGCCAACGCTTTTCACCCTGAGGAATCCACGCATATATGTTTGAATCTGACCCTTTTTATATCACGATCCTCCTACTGGCCAGAAGGGGACCCAGGTTTGAACTGAGGATATGTTCCTGAGATAGGCCTGGAGTTCGGAACCATTCGAAGATATTGCAGTTGGCACTTCGGGTAGAACTTTATGGATATAGCTTTCTTTGTTTCCATGTGGTCCATTGATCAAGTACAAGAAGACGATATCCTCTTCCAAATCTTCTAAACCCACATATCTTCAGGGCCACGGTGCATGGAGTGGCTCGCTCCGTCATTAGAAGATATTGGTCCCACAGTCACTTCAAATTCTTCAGAATTGTATTTATTCCTGTTTCTTGCGTGTCAGATGAAACTTAAAGCGTTAGGCAGGTCGGAGTAAAGAGCCTCGTCCTACCAAATATAGAGAGAGCATACGCAAAGGGACCACTCCAGCACGAATCCAACCTTACGCGAACGCCTGTGTAGTACATGCAAACTGTTATGCATGTTTCTGCCCTTCCTTGATTCGAGAGTAGAGGGTAAGAAGAGAGTCCAGATCGACCCAGGGAGAAATCCACAGGATCTTCCGGACAAGTGAGAATTTTCCTCTCCTGCTCATAGAATTGGAAGCTGTAAACCAAACATCACACGGTGGCGATGCCGCGCAACTAACCACTGGCTGCTTGCTTACGTGGAAGACGAGGTCATGAGATCTCCTTCCGTGTGAGTGTTAAAGTGGCTGCCCTGTGGACTGTCTCTCGCTTTTCAGCTCAGTGATCCATTTCCCTTTTCCTGCAAGTAGCGGTGGCGTTTATGTGCGTACTGCTGCCTGCTGCAATTACGATTGCGCAATTTGAATCCGGAATTTGACTGGTCCCTCAGTTTGTCACCTGCCCCGACGAACGGAATGATAATATGTTCTTAATGCTGGTGGTAGATGAGTCAGATTCATAGGTTGCAATTTAAGCACTACCTCAACAACTTTCAATCAAATCGACCAACATAATGGTTGAGTCGAGTGCAAGGCTTTGGCAATGGGGCAGCATGGAATACTACAACTGTTAATGCGTCTGCAAGAGGTATGGAGACCCTTTTCGACCTTACACAAGCGAAAACGAGTGCATAAATCAGGAAGGGATGCCGAATCTCATAGCATGGATCTTCTTCTCACTTTCCACCTACATTCAGCTTAAATCCTCAAATTGAAGGTTGGTTTCCGAGGTGATTGAATCCTCGTACTCTTCTGGCCCTACCAGCAGATTGACCCCAGGAGCATTGAAGGTGATATCATTGCTCGAAAAGCATCGTTTGGCCATTTGCGGTTAGAACCTCACAGGTTTCCATTCTTGTCTCATCTCCTCAGTCTCCTGTGGCCCCTAATGAACTGCCGTTTTGTTGACTTTAGAGGCGAAGGTCGGTTAGCAAACAATGAAAAGGCATCAGTGGGATCCAGTTCATCAGCTGTGGAAATTTTGACTCGAATAAGTTTTTCTCAAGCCTCCTCCATCCCGCAGCAGCAGCACCTACCAGCATACGAAACAAAATAGAGCTTGATAAGTCGTATGCTGTGATGAACCAGATCAAGCA